AATGTTTAATTCCAAACGAAAAACTTCTCATATGTCAGGATATTTTTAGCTAGTGGGTTTTTTTTTTTCCCCATATAGTCTGTAAAGACAGAATCATTCAGCCTTCAGTATATTTTGTTTGCTAATCAACTTTTTTCTACGTAAAATGTATACATTGGACATTTTTCTGTCACCAACTATTTTTCTGTGGCTTTTTTAGTGACTGCATAATAATCTGTTGAAATTTTTTCTATCAATCCTCTATTGTTGGACATTTAGGAGGTTTCCAATTTTTCACTATTATAAGCAGTTTTATTATACTCTTGTTATCTCTTAATGTTTTAATTACAAAAGCAATATGTGCCCTCTGTAAATAATTAAAACGATACGGAACTGTATAAAATGTAAACAAGCAAAACTCCTTATTTCTGTTTACACTTGCATCCCCATGGGGCAAACGCTGTTAGTAGTTTGCCGTGTATCCTTCTGAACTTTTCATGTTTTCCAACTCCTTTTCTTTTCCTCCCATTCTCTTGACCTATCACCTTTTGTTTCCTGCTCTTGTCCTGCTCAGCCTCAAGCAGCTGCTTCTCCCTTCTAATTCTCTGCTTATAGTCTGGGAAACCAAACAGATGTTTTAGAATATATCTAAATTTAAATTTAGACAAAATCATTTATGAACGAAAGCCTCAGATTAAAGAGCATGAACTTTACTGGTTAAATGTGTTTTGCATTTTGACTGCTAATAGGCCTATTAAACCTACCTCCTGGTACTAACTGGGCCAGACAGTTGAAGTTGTTGAAAAAGTAACCTTTAAATAAGTGAAGTGTTACTATCTTTACTTTTAATAAGCTAAGAGTGAACTACATTTAAGAAACATTTTTATGTTAATATTTCATGTGTTCACACAACTGACCTTGAAAGGGAAAATCTGTAAGATATGAGAAGAGGAGAATAGCAGTTTGAGACACTTTCTTTTAAAAGTGCACTCATTCATTCGGTAAATATTTACTGAGTGCCTACCATGTGCTGGGCACCGTGTAGATGTTAAAAAACCAAAAACCAAACTCATTGCCATCAAGTTGATTCCGACTCATAGTGACCCTGTAGGACAGAGGAGGACTGCCCCACAGGGTTTCCAAGGAGCGACTGGTGGATTCAGACTGCCAACTTTTTGGTTAGCAGCCGTACGTAGCTCACTGCAGCTCTGAACCCCTGCACCACCAGGGCTCCATGTAGATGTTAGGGAAGACGAAAAAACCAAGCTCTTGACTTTTTTTTTTCCACTTTCACCAGCACTATTTGGTAGCTCCTGTTGTGCATTGTATAGTGTTCTTTGGCTAGATCCTGTCTTATAAAGCTACGTTCAGGCATTCTGTCTCAATCTTCGATTGATAACACGTGGGCACTTGGCATCTGTGTATTTCTCTGTGTATTTTCTTGCCACCCCAAGTGCAGTTACGCCCCAGCAGCCTTGCCAGCGTTTACCTCAAGTGCAGGAAGGAAGTCCTCTGGCTGCCTAGCTGGGTAGATATCTGTGGCATTTGGGGCTTCGTTTTTCTTGTGATAAAACTGAGCCCAGAGACATGGCAATTGATACCATTGTCTAAAGCTCACCCTTTTCTTTTTTCTGTTCTTTTTTCCCCCTGAACTATGAAAATTGCTGAAATGCCAGGAGTTTGGTTAGAGGTCAGTAGGGAAGTTTGGAATGTTTTTAATCCTGTGTTCAGTGTTCTTGGTAATATTAGAAGAGCAACAGAGCCATGAATCCAGTCATGCTCTTGGCTGAAGCACGCTACTCTGACTTAAGTGCTCCTCGCGTGGAAAAAGACCCAGGGCTTTAGTTGACAGTGAATGCAACCTGAGCCAGTGATGTGACCTGGCTGCCAATACAAGCAAATGTGATCTGAACCTGTATTAGTAGAAGGCTGGTGGCTGGGACATGGAAGATAATAGTCCCAGGGTATACTCTGCAGTGGTCAGATCACACCTGCAGGATGGTGTTTCTTCCTGGGCACCTCATTTTAAGAGTGATGTTGACAAGTTGGAGTATGCCCAAGTTGGGCAACAGGATGATGAATGGCCTAAAGACTACCTCCTTTGAGGAACACTTGGAGGAACTGGGGTAGTTTACCCTGGAAACTAAAAGGCATGGGGTTGTGGGATCACTATGTTCAAACATTCTCAGGGCTATCATGTAGAGGAGTTGGACTCTTTTGTGTAATCTCAGCACTCACTACTTAGACCAGTATAACAAAGTGGCTGATCTTATTTCCATAGAAGGAAGAATTTTCTAGCCCTTATGAACATCCATAAGTTAGCAGCTTTGCAAAATAGTGACTTCACCTTAATCAGAAGTATTAGAATAGAGCAAGGCTGACCATAAGAGGTTTAGAGAATATTCATGACTAGAATGGAAGGCTTGGAGATACAACCAACTGTACCCAAGATCTTTTCAAAGATTCTAATGATGGGAATTTAGAAAGGAAGGAAACGTCAGTTCTGTGTTTTCTCAGATTCCATACAAGATTTAATCACAGAAACTTAAAATTGACTCTAAAGTTGAATTTTGATGTTGTGAGAGTCAAGGGGAGAAAAAGCTATAGGAATTTTCTGTTTTCCCTGGTGGTTATGGATTCTGTGTGTAAACGTTTGAGCAGTAGTGTTGTATTTTTGTTTTTGTCATTGTTCTTTTTTTTTTTAACAGACTGAATGAATTACTATCATTTTTTTAACTGTTAAAATTCTCTAGAGCCCTTGTCATGCTTTCTTTCTCATAAAATGTCTGTTGTTTTCAGAGCACTATATTTTAACAAGATTACCCTTAATCCAAAATTATAAACCAGCATGTCAGAGAATGGTAGTTTTTGTCCACATGCCAAAGAACCAGCCTTGTGAAATGACTGGTATTTAAAGCTTATTAATCATTAATAACGGAGTAGCATCCAGTAAAATGTGTGCATTGTAATAACTTGGATCTTCCCAACCTCTAGGTGAGATGAGTCATTCCTGTTTTACCAATACAGAAACTGGGTCTTGGAGCAGCTTGCTACCATGACCGTGGGTGGAACTGGCACTAGAATCCAGATCTTCTGACTTCTACTCCAGTGCTCTTTCTAACACAATAGGCTACTGTTCTTTCCTAGTAGTATGTTTAGAGATTTACTTAAATGCAGAATACAGATTTTCTCTCTTAACTACGGTAGTTCTCCGGAGCAGGATGGTAACTTGCTTTGGCCAAGGACTTGGCCTCTAACGTTAATGCTGTCCTGAGTTAATCTTATGTCCTAAAGAGAGCCTCTAAAACCATCACTACTGACGTTGGTGGATAATTGACCCTCTCCTTGAAAATAGGGATGCTAACACTTACTCCAAACAAAATTCCTAAGGCTGCATGGAGGGGACAATGTTTGTTCAATAGGGTGGATTTGTCTGGGCAGTATTGCAAAATGCTTATGAGCTCAGGCTTAGTCAGAGACCTGGATTTAAATCTCTGTTCTGCCGCCTACCAGCTGTGGCATTGTCATCTCACAGACCTAAAATGGGAATTATAGAGCCTACTTTTTGGACTGTTGAGAGGCTTACATATGATAACATGTGTAAAAGCTGTTTTTTAAAAAAAGTTTATTGTGAGTTAATATCAATTGTCTTATCCATTTTTCCATTGGAGTATTATTGTGTGTTCCCTATTTATTTTCACTATGCTGTTTATACTCAGCATAGTAGGTGGTGAATAAATCCTAGTCAGTGCTATCTTGCTGGCCATTGTTGTCGCGTGCCATGGAGTTGATTCTAATTCATAGTGACCCTATAGGACAGAGTAGAACTGCCCTATAGGGTTTCCAGGGCTGTAAATCTTTAAAGAAGCTTACTGCCACATTTTTCACTGGCCTTAGGGTTAGCAGCTGAGCAGTTAACCATTGCACCATCAGGGCTCCATGCTGACCAATAGTCAGTAACAATTCAACAGACCAAGTGCCTTATGGATGCCCAGCCCAGTGTTTATCTCTGAGAATACAAAGCTGCAAGAGACAAGGCCCTTGCCACAGTGTTAAGTAAGAACGATCTACAGGTTACTGTATAGGCCGACCTGCCCAACCTGGGGTTCCAGGAAGGTCTAGGTAAGTTGAGTGAGTCATAGACAACCAGGCCAAGCAAGGTGGGAGGGGCCTTGGTGCAGAGAGAACTGCTGAGTAAAGGCACACATCTCTGAATCAGCAGATTGCGTGAGTCAACTGTGAACTGGCGTCGGAGGTGTAATACTTGTTGGGCTAGTGCCTCTTAAAACTTCGGTTTCCTCATCTGCAAAATGAAACGTTGTCTACCCCCTAGCCATGATGTGAAGATGTGATGTGAGGATTCAATGAGGTAATATTTGTAAAGTACTTGGTACATCACTTGGCAGAGAGTAAGTGTTCAATAACTGTTGGCCACCATTACCATTAATGATTTAATTATGGCCCATTTTATTCCAAGAATAATTCATCCCCTGGTCATTGGACTGCGAACGAGGGTGCAGTTTTGAAGAGCTCGAAGACAAGGGGCGGGGTGCTTAAAAATCCCAAAGGCCAGCGTGACGTCTCCACCCGTGCACGGTGGCCCGGGAGCACCCACCCACAGCCGGGCCTCTAGCGTCACGTGGGCCGCGGCCCCGC